CTCATGCTTCTAAGTTAAAATCTGGCCTCAGACACTAGCTGTGTGACCCTGGGCAAGTCACTTCACCTGTTTGCCTCAGTTTCCTCATCTATAAAATGAACCGGAGAAGGAAAAGGCAAACCACTGCAGTATCTTTGCCAAGAAAACCCCAAATGGGGTCACAAAGAGTCAGACATGACTGAAAAGGTTGCAGAAGGCCTTGGATATGTGATTAAACCATTTAGAATTTATACTCTTGTCTGTGGAAGTATTCAGGCAGAGGCTAGGGATCTGATCCCTATCCTGTTGTCCAATGAGTTTCTAACTCTGGATTGTTTAATTACTGTTGGCTTCATTTCCTGAGGTCTTAGAATCCCCTAGCCAGGTGGGGACCAAACTCAGTGGTCAATGTCACAGCAGTGTGAACAAAGACACTGATGGCCCTAGAATTCTGGCAACATGAGAAACCAAGGACCTCAACTTGCCCTGACTACCTATCTCTGGGACTCTTGCCAACTACCCACCACGTACTCTCAAAATCAAAGAGTTAATTCTTCTCTTTATGAGAGGAATAGAAGAAAGAGGGCTAGAGATGGAATCAGGAGAACTTAGGTTCCTGTCTCCTCCACTTTCTAGTTTGTGTGATCATAGGCAAATCCTTTCAACTCTCTGGTCTCCAGTTTCCACATATGTAAATCAGAGACAATTGTATCATGTGCCTTAATGGATTATTGTGGAGAATGCACTGTGTATTCCTTAAAGCAACATATAAATGCATGCTAATATTAGGATGCTATAGGAGGAACTCCCACAATGAAGTGGGAAGGTGGACTGACCTTTGGGCTCAAAGGGACTGACCTATGAGGTTTCTTCCAACATTAAGATTCTAAAAATTTGTATTTTTTTCTCTTTGGTGATTTCTTTCGACAAACAGTGTTGTTCTCTGCTTTTTACACAGTTTTTACTTGTTTCAAAAGGTTGAGGTGAAGGTGGAGAAGAAACATATGCTGTGAGGGTCCCTTGGCCTGTACCACCTTAGAGATGGAGCTGTGGCCAGAGGTCAGAGTGTTATAACCTAGCAGTGATATAAGCCAGTCAGGTTTACAAAACTGATCAGCTTTAAGGTGCAGAAGGATAAGACTAAAGTAAACGTAACATTATCTTGCATTTACCAACCATATATTCTAGCATTTCAGAAGTCAAAGGTGAGTTATTGAGAAATATTTTACCCAGCTTTCAGTTATTTCTAAAACTGAAAATTTCATTACCAAACATAGAGTTCTAGATACATATGTTTCCAACTGTGAGATTTCTTCTGTATAAATGAAAACTTAGTGAAAAACCACATACTAGAAATCTAGTTAGATTTGCCTGATGGACTGGTTCTTTCTGGAAAGAAAACAAATATTCCTGCTCTAGCCCTGTAGGAAGAAGCCCACAGCAAAGGAAGGCTAGTAGAGAGTTGAGAAGTTAGAAATCAAGACACCCTGGTTTGGGTCTCTGTTCTGCCATGAATAACCTGTGTCATGCTGGGCAAATCACTTTCATGTTTTCAGAAATAAAAAAAAGAAAAATGTCAATTAAAAAAATTTAATGCTGATATAGCCTATGCATTTATACCAGAAATCAACTTATAAGATGATTCTGGTATATTGTAGTTCATGCCTTCTTTCTCCCCCACCTTTATATACCCACACCCACCCACACACACACCCACCCACACACACAAGTGTGTATATGTATGTATGTATGTATACACACATACACATATTTCCAACACATATATTTCCAAATTTTATTTTGTGGGAAAAAAAGAAACAATAAAAAACTTCTAAAAAATTTAATACTGAAACAGCATATAAACTTAACATAGCAACAAGCATGGCACAGTGCCTAGTACACAGCAGGCACTTAATAAATGTTTACTGATTGATTGATAAAGTCAACCTCATTCTCATCAAAGTCATTCTCATCTATAAAATGGGGATTCTGGAACTCCTATTTATGTAACAAAGGTGTTTTGGAGACTGCATTTTAGAAATTATAAGATATAAAAAAAAATCATACCTTACATTATTTCTTTCTCTTCTTCCCCTTGTTTTCAAATAAACTTCTACCTTCTTTTTTCTTTTCTTTCCCCCTCTTTTCTCCTCTTCTATAGATAATGTCTTGCCAGTGTTGCTTGGGGCTTTGCTTATCATCACTTAGGTATCAAGACATTGCTTATATTCAGGTTGACCAAATCTATATCAAATTGACCTATCAGGAGGTGCTGTCTTATATAATTTCTGATTTGTAAATGAACACACTCATTTGGTAAGAGGGTAGTAATGCTATGCTTTAGAACAAACCGTGGTCTTCACTCTTAGATAGCAGTATTCAAACCAGCCTGATTCCCTGTGAAAAGGCTATATAAACTGACTGTGACAATTGTGTCAGAAAGGTAGCTCACCTATCTATCATATATTATCAGTAATTCAGTTAACTGCCAAATCCACATTTCAGCTCTTTGTCTAGATCAGCACCTCATTAAACATTATATTTTTCCTGTTATAAAAATACAAAGTTTTGAAAAACCATGCTAAATGCCTCTTCCTTTCCCATGTTTCACTTTCTGCTCATCTTCTTCATCTGAGGTTTGAAATACACATGCAATCCAAGAGGCATGTGATGAGGAGTCTTTCTTAACCACATCTCAAAAATCTGCCCTTTGCTTTTTATTTCCATAGCAACTGGACCCTTGTCACTTTACCTAGGGTTCTTAGAGGGACTCACAGAATTTCAGAGTTAGAAGGAGACTTGAATGGCCAAAGAGTCTGACCTAAACACGAAAAAACAATTTCAGCTACAACATAACCAACAAGTGATGCTTCAGCCTCTGCTTAGAGACCTCTGAGAAACTCACCATGTCCTGAGGCAGCTCATTCAACTGTTAGATGGACCTAATGGTTAGGAAGCTTTCTTTATATCAAGTCCATATTTGTATTTATACAATTTCAATGAGCTATTTTCCTAGTTCCTCTCTCTGGGGCAAAGCAAAAGAGGCACAGTCCCTCTTCCACAGGACAGTCAATCAATCTATCAATCAATCAGTAAGCATTTATTAAGTGCTACTATAGTCAGAAGATTTGGGTCCCAGTCTAGGCTCCACCACTTAAAAATGTGTGACTTGAGGCTAGTCACTTAGCCTCTACGGACAATATTAATTTAATATACATTTATTTAGTACCTATTATGTGCTAGGCATTGAGCTAAATTCTGAGGCTACAAAAAGAGGCAGAAGTCCCTGCCCTCAAAAAAATTACAATCTAATGGAGGAGACAACATGCAAACAAATACATATAAAGCGAGTGATATAAAGGATATATAGGAAAAATTAATCAAGAGTGGTTTGGGAAGAGCTTCCTGTAGAAGGTATGATTTCAGTTGGGACTTAAAGGAAGCCAGAGAGATCAGCTGGTGGAAAAGAGGTGGGATAGCATTCCAGGCATTGGGGACAACCAGAGAGAATATGCACAAATTATATCAATTGGTCAACAAAAAAGTGTGATTTAAATGCCAACTATCTGCCAGGCATTCTGCTGGGGGGGGAAGGGTACCAAGACAAAACTGAAACTGTCACTGTCCTCAAGGAACCCACATTCTATCCAGGGAGACATTAGGGACATAAGTAAAACAAATATATATAAATGTAAGGCACATTTTTAGGGTTAGTGCACTAGCAGTTGGGAGGATCATGAAATGCTTTACAGAGGGAAATGAGGGATTCTAAGAGGAAAAGTAAGGTGGGAAAGCATTTCAAACATGGGGGGGGGGTTGGTTGGTGCAAAGTTGTGAAGATGTGAGATGGAGTGCCTTGCATAAGGAAGAGCAAAAAGGCCAGTCTCATAAATTTAATAAGCATGCCATGTCTGCCTTTATTCAACTGATTTCTCTCTTGTATCTATACACTATATTATTTTCAAATTCTGGTGCTTGGCATGTTTGAAGAAATTAAGGAGCTTGAGTAAGCACATAAAATATCAAATCATATATTTAGACCTATTCTCTCTCTCTCTCACACACACACACGTCCCAAAAGTCTCAGTGCAGCTTTAAATAGCTTAAAGCTGCACTGAGACTTTTGGGACACCCTGCATATATAAATTTCACAAAGAAAAAATATATATGTGTTAGTAGTTGGGTGGAATCAAGTTATTAAGAATCAAAACCAAATCTTTACGTCCTATCTTCTGTCAAATGAAATTGCTTATAGAAGGATGCATTGAGATCCAATGTAACCTGTTGTCATCAGCTACTGAATAGATGGGGCCCTTTAAACCTCCATTTCTAGGATTCAAGTCCCGATGAACTGAAGGCACTTGCTGTTTCTTTAGTGAAACATTTTAACACAAACATTACCTCTTAATGAAAATGACACACTGCTGTCCTTGGCCACTGAATGTAACAACAAAATATTACAAGCTCAAGAAATATTCCATTTGCAAATGGGCCAGAGCATGTCCCATGCTCTGTCCCTAAGATAACAAAAGCTGTTGTCGCTAAGATAACAAAAGTCAATTCCATCAATGACCCTACACCACATTTTGCTTTGTACTGCAGTGAATGTCTAAATTGAGAGATGCATCTAAAGATATATCACTTGCTTGCAAATAATGGAAAGAGGCCCCCTGTACTGTGCAGATGCCCAGAGATAGTGCTTTTATTCCTGTAATAATCACACACATCCCAAAAGAGGCTTGCCTGCTGATATACTGCTATTATCATGAAAAAGAAGCCAACAAAAAAAAGGTTTTCATCATGTAGTTTTCTCACTCTTTCCCTGGTGAATATTAAGAATGCCAATACTACAGACGTTTTCTTGTTTCGTCTCATTCACCGTTCAAATATAAAGAAGAAAGATTTATTGATCTGGAAAACCAAAAATTTCCAGGCAATACTTAACACAGCAGGAATGTGTGACTACTTCAAAATGACCCCACTGTGAGGTTTTAATGGGGGAAGGGTCCTTTGGACTATACCTTAGGGTTGCCTCCACCTTCTTTGGCAGCGTACAACATCTGCAGAGCAGACTCCGCCAGTGTCTTGGTCTGGTCCAATACTGTCATCTGCTGTTGATGATCTAGAATCTTAGATGCCACACCAACTGCAGCTAAGATCAAGGGTTCGAAGTAACTCGCCAGCTGTGTGACCTTGCAAGGAAAACATCCAACAAAAAAAGGCATTCTGTTTAACATGTCTTAAGCCATACTTTGCAGGAAAAGACAGAAGTTAGAGAAAGATCAGATGAGTCTGTAGGAAGATGTGCAGCTTGACTTTTGAAAACCCATCTTGAAATTTATAAAGAACAGTTCTGAACTTCCTTGAGGAACCCTACCTCCTTTCTGTAACCATTACAGGAGTATAGAGAAACTTGTTCAGTAGTATGGAATTTAAATGCATCCAATGTTAGAGCCAATTATTAAAAAAAAAAAAAAAAGAAATTTTAAGGGCTTTTGAGAAAAAAAAAGGGACAATTATCTTTTCTACTATATAAAGAAAGCTTAATCATTGATGGATAAGCTTCCTTAATTTCAAGATAGAACCAAAAGATTACATCCTTAGTACCAATTTCAAATGTCATATGTTTTCTAGCAGAGTCCAGGATACTTCCACAAAGCTTAATTGAACGAAAAACAAAAAGCAAAAAAATCTTTTATCATTATCTTTAGACATTTAGCTTCGGATTTAGCCCAGGCTGATGAAAAGCTATTTACTGAACTGCCAGGGGACAGTGATTGATTGGTTCTATTCTAAGGTTTCACTTAATACTTTAATAAAGGAAGCAAATTGTTATCAGGTCCAGGTCTGTAACCTGGAGACTGGAAGAAGAAAAGGAAGGACACTTCATAATGTTCCACAGAGATGAACTCTCTTTGTCTAACCCATGTGTTGTCATGACAATGAACTTTATGTTTGTGTGGGCTTTTATGGTTGTTGTTGTTTAGTTTTTAAATAATAGGAGTCTCAGTCTCACCATTCAGGCTACACAAAGATGGGAGGGAATAATGAATGCTTTACTTTCTTGATGCTCTGATGCTCAAAAACTGGGTTTTTAAAATAAAGGTATTGTTTTCTAAACCTTCCTTTAAGAAACGTGGTGTCATTCAGTCATTCAGTTGTGTTTGATTCTACATGAGTCTTAGCCAAGATAATGGACTGTTTCGCCATTTCCTTCTCCAGTGTGTCCCCATTTTCCAGAAGGGGAACTGTGGCAAACAGGGGTTAAGTGACTCTGTCACACAGCTGGCAAGTGTCTGAGGCTTGATTCAAACTCGGAACTTCCTGACTCCAGACCTGGTGCTCTAACCCCTGTACCACCTACCTACCCTTAAGAAATGTAAACTTGGCAACAATATGATGGAACTGAGCTCCAGGAAAATGTTGCTAAAATAATTTGCATAAAGATTCATCATACATGAAATAATTTTATATTCTCTTCTTATATTTATAGTTAAATCTCTTCCATAACAAATATGAGTAAGTTTGCAACTTTCAAAAGTCATGCAGTCATTAAGTATTTATTAAGCCCTACTATGTTCTAGGTGCTGTAGTAAGTGCTGTGGATGAGAGCCCAAGGTCTAATGGGAGAAAACATGAAAACAGCTTTTGTGCCTTTAAACTTTCAGACTTCTGATGCTTTTGTTTCTTAGTCTTAATGGTGCATTGGTATTAATTTTGCATTTTCAATACGTGAATCTATTACTAGACATTATTGTGAAATGTCATCAGAGAACTATACAGCTTCTGGAATACCTCAAGGTTCTGTGTTAGACTAAAGAAACTGGTAGTTTTGGGGCACTGTGATATAATGTGGAAGGAAAGACGTTTTTATCAGGTGAGGCAGTGAATAGGTCTGGTGTATCTACAGAGACAGGAGAGGACTACCAGGAGTGGGAGGACCCTGTGGCAAAGGCTAGAAAAGCAGGAGCCAGATTAAACCCGTATATATTTTTTTAAATCTAGAAATCAGAATGATGTCTCTATTAGCTGGCAGTGACCTAGAAATAATAATTTTGATTTAGGATCATGATTATCAAATTAGGAAAAGGTTTCCTGAAAGGGTTATCTTGCACATAGCTTCAGAAAGACTAGTGTCACTTTCCAATCTGTTCCTCCATGACAAGGGATTGTTGCTCTCCCAAAGGTGACACTATTTTATTTGCACATTGGGTATTGAAGCCATGAGGTATTTCCTATATTTATTAGAGACAGACTTATAGAAGATGCTCTGAGGAATTTGAAAACTGCAAGTACTCTATATAAAATGTCATTCTAAAAGTGCATTTCATTAATTTAATTGATGACAGGAGTTCATTTAATTGAAGACAGGAGTTCTTAATCTTTTTTGGCAGTCTGTTGAAGCCCATAGATCCCCTTCTCAGAATGTTTTTGAATGCATAAAATAAAATGTAGAATTGCAACTGGGTTAAGAACTCTTCAGGTTTAAGAGAATGTTTAGTAAGAATTAAATCCAGCAATTAAAGAGAAATAGATAGATGTCTTTGTGCCCTAAAGGAAACAGATTTTTCTGGTCCTAGGTGGTGTACCACCAGGGCTGATTTTAAACTACCACACTTTAGACTCTCAAAGCCCTGTGGTAGGCTTTGCTTCTCCTGTTAAGTTGTTTTGCCTGTGGTCTCCCTCATTAGACTGTGAGCTTCCTGAGAGCAGGAACAGGTTTTTTGCTGTCTTTGTATCCCCAAGGATTAGCCCAATGCCTACCATTTAACTATGTGACAGCTGAATCACTGAAATGATTAGATGGAATAATGAATACCCATTCTTCTTTACTTGCCGTTATCTTATTGCTAAAAACAACAAAAAAAGTCCTCAAGATATATGGAAACAGGGCAAAAAAACTGGGAGGAGGCAACTGGGCAAATGTGTAAATAAATGTAAATATAATAACTTTTATGTAATTTGGTGCATTGAAGGCACCACAAACACCAGGATTTGAATCTATATCTTCTGAATCTAAAACTAATGTTTTTTCCTCTATTCCACACTCCTTGAGTACATAAGGTAGAAAACGATGGACTTTAGTAGAAAACTTTGACATTCATCAGCATACAGGGGTGGTTTCACTTATTTTTTTTTAATTTTTAAATTTACTTTTATTAAGGGCATTTGTTCTACGAAGTTTGGATTCAGTCAGAGGGCCACATTTGAGGCCCTAGAGGGCCACATTTGAGGCCCTAGA